CATTAGCCAACCCCGCGCCTGACCCTTCAGGGCCATGGGGAAGAAATTCGCCATGATCTTGTCGTCACCCCCGGTGGCCTCGATCCCGGTCGTGTAGATCTGGAGAAACTCGGCGGGATTGACGCTTCCGTCGTATTTTTCGGTGATGGTGAGCCGGAACCTTGGGGGCCAACGGACGTTCCGAAGGCTCGCCACAAAGGCTCGACAGCCGGCACCGCCAATCGGGGACACGGGGGGCCGGCCCCCGTGCCCGGACCGAAGTGGCGCTCCGGACGAGGAAGCGCCCTCCGTTGCGTGGGCGGCGCGACGAGCGTCGCGCCGGCGCTCGATATCGAGGCGGGCATCCAGCCCCCCACGCACATCTTCTTGGGTCGGAGGCGTTGACGATGGAATGGCGGACGAACGGCGGGTAACGGCCGCTGCTCGCCGCGCCCTCCGCCTCGACGACATGGAGCCGGCGGCGGCAGCGCCAGAGGTCTCGGTGGCGGAGGACCGCCCGCCGGCGCCTAGGCGCTGCTGCGCCGTCATGACCAAGTCGGCCACGTCATCCAGGCAACGTCGGGCTAGAGTCTCTGGATCGGGGACGACGGGCGGGTGACGCACGAGCGCGCCCGCAGCCTGGAGCGCGCCCTGGGGCGTGCCGCCATCGCCGTAGACGAGGCGGCGACGCGCCCCGTCTCGCCGTCCTCCCCCGTCGCCCGCGGGCGGCGATGTCGCAGATCCTCCGACCTCCCCGAGCGCCTCCCCCCGCCCAAGATTTCGGCGAGAGGGGGACGGTGGGGTGCGAGCCCGACGGCGCGGGTTCTGCTCCCCGTCGTCACCGCTAGCGTTCGGAGAGAGGCTGTGCGCCACTGCCCGTTCGGCCATTGGGCTGAGCGGGAGAAGCTTGGCGCACACGAAAGAGGACGAGGGCTTAGAAAGACACGCGCGCCCCCTACCTGGCGCGCCAGATGACGGAGCGTGGGGCTCCTCACCGGGAGACCGCGCAGGCCCCCCTTTGCCGGTTCGGCCGGGGGCGCTAAGTGAGGTTCTTCGCCCTCGATCTGAGGAACGTCAGCGAGAGAGGAAGCGCACAAGACACGAGCGACGTAGACAGGTTCGGGCCGCTGAGAAGCGTAACACCCTACTCCTGTGTTCTGGTGGATCTGTGTCTGAAGGAATACAGAGAGCCGGAGAGCGAGAGAGAGTTCAGGCTCTAGAACCCGTTCGCCAGAGTCCCACAACCCCCCTTCCTGCTCCTTTTTCCCTTCTCTTCTTTTTTCCTCCCTCTAGGCCTGGGCCTCCTTTTTATCTGGTCAGGGGTCACCACATGGGCCTCTCGCTGCCTAAGAAAGGAAACATGCTTTTTACAATGAGGGCTAGTCTACAGCCGGAAATGACTTCTGACAAGCAGAGCACACGCCTCCTGCCCCGCTCGCCCGCTTTTCCCGTGGACGTCCATTTCAACCTTCATTTAATGGCCAGTGACTTCCTTGCCATACTTGCGCTGAAGCCTGGAATGAATCTGACCGGGACTGACATACCAACTCCAGGAGTCAGCACGCCGGCTCCGGCTAGGGACGAGAGCCAGGAAGCTCTCATCATTCCGACGGGACGGGGCGAGGCGTGTGACAGGCCGCCTGTTGCCACCTAACCCGCGATCTGACCGGTCTGTGACCGGTCACACACCGTGACTGGTCACGGACCGGATAAGCGTGCGCTGCGCCGCATTAAATGCGGCGTGGCGCGCTCGTCCAACCCGCTATAAATGCGGTTAGGTGAGCCCCGCTGTGCTCACCTAACCCACACATGTGGCGCCAAAACCACAGGGGGTCGGGGCGCCCCAGCCCTCGGGGCCGAAACGGGGGCGCCCCAGCCCTCGGGGCCGAAACGGGAGCGGCCCGACCCCTCGGGGAGACAGAGGGAGGGGTGGCCACGTCACCCTCGGGCCCGACCCCCCCCCCCCCCCGGAGGGGGTCAGGCCACGTGGGTGACCGCGGCTACCCAAGCCTCTAGTCACGATACCCCCGGCCCCATGTCACCGACAAGCTCCACTCCCACAGGCAGCTCAACTGGGGTATAAGCCAAACGTCTTCTCCTTCTGTATCCTTTTTCTTCAAAGGAGGTTTGATGATTATTGCAAGGTGAGCATATGACATATTCCGCAAGCCACACAGCAAATATGCGAGTGCACAGGATAACAAAGGACGGCATAATAAAGTTCATTTGCATAAACAGCATTTAATAAATATTTAAGAGAATTGTAAAACAGTTGAATAATTAAGCAGTATTAAATAAACACTACACAACACACCTGTGTTGCATAGGCCCAACCTCATCTGAACAACCAACCCCGGTTGTACAAATCAAACCTCCATACCAGGAATTATCCAATCCAAACCAGGAGTCAAATTAATTATCACATTATTATCATTAATGAGTAGTGTGGGACTAATCACGAAAAACATTGCTCAACTCGCCCATAACTACGGGCACGGCTATTCGAATAGTTTTACTCTGGCCAGAGGTGTACCACTGTATCCACAAGACACAGCCTCAACATCATGTCTACCATGCGTCGCGATACTGGAAAGTACCCGAATAGAGACTGTGACAATACCCCCTGCACAACACAACTCACCACAGTGCACCGTTCCTGGATCATAATCTCCCCCTCAAAACTAGAGGCAATGGACACCCCAGCGACCCCCACGGACTTCTCGCCGCTTCACAGTCTGGCACACCATAATGAATCATGCTATACAAAAGGTAAAGCCGTTGCCCACGCTGGCTTGTGGTTGGCACGGTTAATGTTTCACAACAGTAGCTCGCGAACCGGTCCTTAATTGTCATGAGCACAACCATCAAAACCATATGCTCACAACCCACCTTTAATCAGGTTTTAATTATCAATTAATTAACATTACACATTGACCATCGTGAGCTACCATTAAATATAATCATAATTAATAATGTAATATACTTTATCCCATTAATGAGCTAATGTTTCTAAGCATGGCTAAGCAATTATATATATGTAGCATTTAGCTGAACCAAACCAATATATAAGGTCCAAGCTAATCAAATTATAACCCATAGGAAAATAAAGTCATCTTCGGCCATTAATTAATTGGGAAAGACTCACCACCTGATGACATTCTAAAATAATGCATAAGTTGAAATAAAACATTAGCTTTAAACGGGTTCAACATGCTCAAAGGGTTATTTGGGATCTTTGTGACTTGCCTTGAGCTTCCGCATACGCTTCCGAACCTCCCTCAACGAAAACGCTCTCCTCCGGAACGTCGGAAACTAAAGCAAAAGAAAAAAATCAACAAAACAGTACAAAAACAAGCATAAACAATACATGTGGATATTTTTAATATGTAGATTTTGATTTTAGAAAAATTTAGCAACTTGAACCACTCAAATCCGAGTTACGATGATTTTGTTATGAATTTCCGAAGTTTAATCGATTTGCATCCAAAAAGAAAACCGAGAAAAAAGGAAATATGACATCATCGCTGACGTCATCCCCGGCCATGGCACGGCTCCACGCGACCACCGGCAAAAGAGGGCTCGGTTGGGCTAACCGAGGACACCAATGGCTCGGGTCCCCGACGGCGACGGCGCTCCGATGGTTTTCGGCGGCTGCTAAGGGGTGGACGGGGTTCCTCTCCTCCGTGCGCACCTGACGGTGGCGACGGACGGCAGCGGCGACGATGCTAGCGGCGGCGCGACGCGACCGGAGGATCGCCGGCGACGGCGGCGGCTAGAACAAGGCGGCGGCGGCTCTACGGGCGACGAGGGAGCTCAGGAGTTGAGGCAAACGAAAGAGGACGACTAGGGGATGCTATTTATAGGCTTGTATTGAAGAGATCGGACTCCAACCGAGAGGAATCGAAGCCGGAAAATCTTCGGGTTAGTTTGGAGAGATAAACTCAAAACGAATTTGATTCGGATAAAATACAAGGAATTAAGTTCCGATTCTTGGGGAAAACAAAAGAGGAAGATAAAGGAAATATTTCCCCTCAACTAATTTTAGGAAAACACAAGGGAAAAGGTCGGATTTGGAGGAGAAAAACCGAGCCCACTCGGCCTCAGTTCGGCTGCTAGAGGTACAAGATGAACAGTGTCGAGATAGGCAAATTAGACTTTTCCGGCTGGCTGAGAACAGAACAGAGCAAGTCGACTTGGGCCGGCTTGGGCTGCACAGCACGCGCGCGAGGGAGAGAGATGTTGGGCTGAAATCAGCCCAACGGCTTAGGAGAAGATTTAAAAACTTTTTCCAATTAAAATAATCACTGAAATGATCTTTGAATTGTTAAAAATACTTCCAATGCTCAAATAATTTCAAGAAAAATCCTGAAAATACTTGGACACTCAAAGTACTTAACAAAATTATAATAAGACTATTTAATGATTAATTTAATATGTGGATAATTACTGAAATGTTCTTTGTATGATTAAAATTGAGAATTGAGCTCCGAAAAATCCGAGAATATTCCAGAGAGTATAATTAACAATGGAGAATTTAATAAAAATTAAATACATCCATGCTTTATATTTAGGAAATTTTATTTCCCACATTTAACTTTACTTGTAAATTAATGAACATTTAATATAAATTCTAATAATAATTTATTAAATAATTTATAAATCCTGAAACGAAAATCAGGGTGTGGCATAATCTCAGGCTAAAGTCCAATTTATTTACCTCCATCCATTTTTGCCACCATCCCAAAATTTATCCAAAGTTAGTACAAATTATTTGTATTCTCTTTCCTTCTCATTTGACTATTTTAATTTTAAAAATATTAGAGAAAATCTTTTTGACAAGTTTTATATTTGGTTCTTATTGAATTCTATAAGATTGGAGCATTTATATTTTTATTTTTTTTCAAATTTATATTTCAAAATAAGCTTATTTAGTTTTATTTTAAAAATATTTCAAACCTATTTTACTTTAAAAATTCTATATTCAAATTCTTTATCGAAATACAAAAGGCCCACAAAGAACTTCCAATAGATTTCATCTCCCTTAACTCCACAAATAAATTCCTCCAAATATTTCCATCCAATTTCCCTTAGTTTACATTTCCTTGAATCCCATTTAAATTCCTTGTCCAAGTTCAAAAAGTCCACAAACATTCATTCTCTAAATTTCATCTCCTTTGAATTCTATTCAAAACCCTCCACACAAATTATCAAAGCTTCCTACTCATTTTGGGCCGAGGTTCCTTCATCTGGCCCAGTCAGCATAAGTCTATATTTTCTCCCTCCTCCTTCCTGTGGGCATGCTGCCGCCGCCGCCGCCGCCCAGCCAGTCCGACGCCGCCACCTTGCCGCGCTGCCCACGCCGTCGATTGCCGCCACGCCACCACAACGCTGCTACACGTCGCCGCCACTGCCGAAACCGGGGGCCCTCGTGTCGCCTCCACAGCCACCGCCGCCAGCGCCATTCCGCGGCCGCCGCTGCTCAGCCGCCATCGCCTGCCGCTTTGCCGCCGTCGCCCGCCGATTCGCCGCCGCCGCACGACGCCGTGCCGTGTCACCAGCCACGCGCTGCCGTAAGCCGACGCCGATTACCGAGCCGCCCCTTTGCCGCAAATCAGAAGCCGACGCCCGGCGCCGCCTCTCTCCATCCCATCCCCGACGCCGCCTCATGCCGTCGTCGTCTTCCCTTTTGCAACCGACCTCGTCGCCTATAAAAGCCGACGAGCACCCTCCTCTCCCCATCTAAGCTCAATGAGCTCCCTCTCTCTCTCTTTCTCCCCCTCTCTCCAATCCTCCCGGCCACCGTCGCCTTTGCCCTCCACCGCCGACCGCAGTTCTACTCCTAGTGCCGTCTCCGGCCGTCATCGCCGTCGAGCTCCGGCCACCCTTGCCGTGCCTCCCTTGCCGCGCTCTCCCTCCCTCTCCTCTGTGCCAGTCGAAGCAAGAAGGGGAGGTAGAAGAGGAGGTAAATGGAGACACTGACAGTGGGCCCCACCTTTCATAAAGTAAACATTTTTCCTTTATTCTCAATTTCAATCTTCAGGAGCCCATATCTCTTTAACCATAGATCCAATTCCAGAAAAAATTTGACCTAAATCGATCTAATTCGTACGTTAGACTGTACAGCAAGTTTTATCAGCATCCATGGAGCTGATGTGGACCCAGATGGCTACGCTGAAGCTGCAGGAAATCTTAAGGCGCAAGGCAAGACATAACTAAAATTTTGATCATATAGAAACCTTGATATAATCTTCATATTTAAATTTGATGCATGATATTTACTCTTTTAACATATCATGGGTAGATGTTATACTTCAGAATAACATTATGGTAATTATTAATGCTTTCAAGCATTATTGCATGAGACTATAGAAAGAAGCATTGGTTATCATTTTATGTGATTTACTATTACAAACAATTTTATAATCTAAGGAATCTGGTTAAAATGGGAATTTATGAGTAGAGATTGTGAATATTGAGGATTATGAATGTTGATATATGATGAAGTTTGTTTGTGTGGGGAGGTTGGAAAGTTTTAGGTGGTTTAACTGGATATAATTACCCCCTTATACCATGGAAATGACATAATTTGCGTCCATCCACACGATCAAGGAATTGGACTTAGCCTAGTACATTGTCCCACTATATGAAAGACTGTTGGTTGGCTCACTAGAAGCAGGATTGGCGTGAATGCATGTGTAAGGAGGTTGGGGGCATGGTTCACAACGGTAGAACCCATGAAAGCAGCGACCATGTAGCCTTGCCTAGGCCTGGCAAGTGTCCGACTGCTAGGACGGATCAATATCCCACTCGTGCAGTAACTAGTAGTAAGTGGGACCTTCGAACAGCTCTGTTGTTCTCAGGCTAGCTAGCTGTGGGCATCGTGTGGGTAAAGCTGAACAGTCTCTGCAGAGGTGAATTAAATCATTCGAATGTGCCGTACTCCCGGTTCTGGAGTTGTGTCATCAGGGTGATTCCTACTCCTGAAGTATAAGTAGTTTTAAAAATTAAATGTTGAAGATAAAGATGACTTATGATTTTTTATTACTTCTTTACTTTATCATTGTTTTATCTATTCATATCTATTTACACTTAATTATTTATAATATGTTTTGCTGAGTACATAAGTACTCACCCTTGCATAATTTGACATATAGTAAAGCTAACACGAAGACTGGAAGGAAGCAAGATCTACGGCAACAACAAGTTTGTCTAGGCTAGTCTACACTCGAGCTTTTGCCTGTGGAGTTCTTCGGAGTTTATTGGTTGTAGTTTAATAATTTAGAGGTTTGGATTTTTCTTGTATTTTCAAATAAGGATATTTTCGTTTGGATCTTTTCACCCTTTAACAGTTGTATAATTATTTTGTACTTCCTCTGTTTCACAATGTAAGACTTCCTAGCATTGCCCACATTCATTTAGATGGTAATGAATCTAGATATATGTATGTGTTTAGATCCATTAACATCTATATTTATGTGGACAATGCCAGAAAGTCTTACATTGTGAAACGGAGGAAGTATGAACAAATATGTGTAAATAATCGAAAGCTGTTCTGTATATCAATTTGTGCGTGATCGAAATCCTGGACGATCACGAGTGGATTTTTGGGCACTAAGCCTAAATTGGGTGTCCCCACACCTATCAAATGCAGGTCAGACATCTCACCCGGCTACATATATATGGGCAATAATTTCAAACTTGCATCTGATGACTCATCCATGCCTTGTGTGCCCATATTTTGTTGAAATCGCTGCCCAGCCAAAGATTATCACACATGGCCAATATATAAGCAGTGTTCGAATAAGGAGAACCCGTGCTATACATGGCAATACCCGATTCCCCCTCCTATCATATAGCGCTATTATAACATGAACGCCATTTAAAGGCTCCGTATATAAGAACAGAGACGCAATCATCATCATTGCACAGATTGCAATTGCAGTCCACCGCACCACCGGGGCCAGCACCAAATACATACCTAGCGCAAAGGCAGTACCCAAGCTTGTCACTGAACTGAAGGCCAGGAATAGAGATATGTTGAAGTGCCGACGGCGAAGTGGTAGACTAACCATAGGAATTCCAGAGTACATGAGGTTGCATGATGGTAGCTAATTAAGCTCGAGCAAATGAATGCTGTTGTGTTAGCCATGATGAACGCATCGAATATATACCTTCCAGCAAGTGTTGGTGTACCGCCATTGTAGTGGTCGTCGGCTTTATATCCTCCAGGTATGGCTAAAATTACGCCAAATGTGACAGTTGCAACCAGCACTGATCCAATCCCCAGGTTTGTGTTGAATTTGTCATTTTCTCTGATTCCTTCTCTTCACCTGCTTGTTTTTGTTGAGGAATATATCGGTCGTGAAAGTGACCTACCTGACCACCCCTGCTTGCATTGCAAAGTTTTAGTGCACGCAATATCAATTTTTCAGGGTTCTGCAAAAGCAAACATACGGATCGATAAGTCAGTGCTGTTAATTTTTCTTGACTTCTACCGAAAACAAGCCTTAATAAGAAAGGAGCCAGAAGTGTATTCCCATCCATAGAAAAACCCTGCAGGAATCTTACTCTGTGAAATATCTAATGGACTCTGCCCCTTATTATTTAGTAATGTAACACTCCGGTGCATTCTACTTGCAGTAGAATAGTAGAATTAATTTCGACCCTTTATTTTAAAGGATAGATTAATAATCTCTTAATACAGCTCAGAGGTAATTTTGGCATGGGATAATTTCTTTTTCTCATCTTTTCGCCTTAGGTCCGACAAAAGGCATATTGCCCGCGACCCCGACGCAGGCACCGCTTCAGTCATAGCAGGCGGCAGCGCGGCGAAAATCGCCGTCGGCTCTGGATCCGGATCACCGGCGGACCTCTGCCGCCGCTCCGCCCGCCCATCTACTCCACCGGCGGCTTGCCAACCCGAACCCCCCGCCCCCACCCCCAAAGCCCCCAACACAAGCACCGCATTAGTCATTGCAGGCGGCGGCGCGGCGAAAATTGCCGTCGGCGCAGGCGGCGGCGCTGCCAGCATCAGGTCCGATGCAAAAGCTCCCGACTCGCAGGCACCGCATCATCGCATCTGGTTGTTGTATTCTCTGATTTAGCCTTAACCTTGTGCTATGGTGCTGTGTGTATGCATGGTTAAATTCTTCTCAATAAGCCTGAAGTATGTAATGTTCCTTTGGATATTATGGCTTCACTGCTTATTGAATAGCCTTCTTTGCAATCTTCATTTCTTTTGTTAACCAAATTAGGTTGATGTGCGTATGTATGATGTGGAAATATTACCTCAATAAGTGGCTTGCTTTGGATTCTGAATTGGAAGTTACTGTTGTACTGTTGTTGCATAACTAATAACCACTTTTTTCTCTGCTTTGCATTCAGGTACTGCCCATGCTGCAAAAAGCATCAACAAGCGATGAAGAAATTAGATCTGTGGAGGCTACCGGAAGTTCTGGTCATTCATCTCAAAAGGTTCTCGTACACCCAATTCACAAGAAATAAGCTTGAGACTATCTTTTTCAATGTCTTGATAACGAGCAAGGCTGGTTGGTTTCTGCAGCATGAAGGGAAGGGATGGTACAAGTTTGATGATGAGTGCGTGAGACCTATAACTGAAGACAGTATAACGACACCTGCTGCTTATGTGTTGTTCTACACACGAGAATGATCAAGATACAGCTGCAATACATCAAATATTTTTTCGGGATGTTTTGCCAAGTCTAGATCTTCCTACATATTCAACATATGGGGCACTTGAATCTCTCAAGTCAATAACCTATACAACAGCATGTACAGATTCAATTGCCGACAAGACAACAAAAGACCTAGCTAATGAACTATTCTTTTCCAGATTCTTTTTGTACATGGCTTGGGGGTCCTACAAAGTAATAGCCTGCTAGTGATTAGCCTTGGTTCTACAAAATTCTTTTTGTCAACGAATTGTTGCGAATAATTTTAAAACGATGTAACCTCTCCTTTTAAATTAACTCGTGTGATCGATCTGTTCCTGTCGCGAGTGTGACACCATAGCTACTCCTGTGTTGCTCCATCCATGAATGGCTATTTGCCAATTCCTGAGTCAGATGACACTGACATGATGATCATTGAAGGTCTGAAATCCCCATTCTGTAGCTTTGCTTTATGGACCAGGAAAATATATCCATGATGATTTCTGATTCCGTCCTATCTCCAGAACTCTGCTGTTTGACAAATGACAGAAGATTATTGCTGCCCTCAGTTCTGTTTGGCCTGATTGCCTTGGACAAATATTCTGACATATCTCAAGAACATCTTTTCTGCCTACACATATCACAGGACCAGATCAGGTTGGATGGGCATCAGAGCTTTATGTGCAACAGTATGTTGATTGCAATTGTTATAAATAAGAACAATAAAAAAAAAGTAAGTCTAACTACTCATTAAAAATATCCCATACCAGAGTTTGATTAAAATCATCTAAATGTCTAACTACTCATCTGTCATCTTATATCATTGACAAGAGTGAACTATCGGACTGCCACTATCGCTTCCTTCTAAACCCATCAATTCGTTCCTGTGTAAAACCTTTTTCCAGCCGATCCCCATTCCAGTGCTCCATACACTTGAGCATAAATAAGCCAGAAGACGGACAGCGATGGAGGGAGCGGAGAAGGCGGCGAGGGCAGGGGAAACGACAGCGACGGAGGGGCGCGGAGAAGGTGACGCGGCCAGGGGAGACGGACGGCGACGGAGGAGGCGAGGGCGGGGGAGGCGGACAGCGACGGAGGGGGTGGAGAAGGCGACGCGGGCGGGGAAGACGGATGGCGACGGAGGAGGTGGAGAAGGTGGCGAGGCCGGGGGAGGCGACGACGCTGGAGAGGAAGGAGATGCCGATGGCGCTGGAGGGGAAGGAGATGCCGATGGCGCTGGATGTTATCTCAATCGGGCCGAAAACAAAGCCCCTTCACAAATGAGTATGACCAGTCAAACCAGCATAGTTAGGAGCCCGTCACGGATGAATAATCTCAATCGGGCACACCACTAAGCCCGTCACGGATGACTAGTCATCTCAATCGGGTATTTAGATAGAGCCCGTCACCGATTGGTTTGACCCCACGTGTTGAGTCAAACGAGTCCCAGCTCAGATGACTTATCTCTATCGGGCTTACTCTAAAAGCCCGTCACGGATGACTTAGCTCTATCGGGCTTATTCTAAAAGCCCATCATGGATGACTTATCTCTTTCAGGCATTATTAATATGCCCGTCAGGGATGAGTTTGGAACAAAAAAAAATAAAATTTTATAATTTGGCTAGCCTCAGGCCTTTGCTAGCTATGCCCGCTGCAAAAATTGACAGAAGCACATATATATAGTCCCATTCCCAGCATCACAGCATTCACAGCCAATTCACAATATTTATATTCCCAGCATCACAGCATTTACATTCCATCACAAAACATGCATTCACAGCCAATTCACAACTCATTCACATTTGTTTCTATCACAACACATGCATTCACATCACATATACTCCCTCCGTTTCACAATCTAAGCCTTTCTAGCATTGGCCACATACATATAGATGTTAATGAATCTAGACACATACATATGTCTAGATTCATTAACATCTAAATGAATGTGTCAATGCTAGAAAGTCTTACATTGTGAAAAGGAGGAAGTATATGTCATTCACATCCTTTCTTCTCTCCAAAACTGCCGACATGCATCAAAACCTGCAAAACTAAGTTATAAATGGAACAATTTTATATGTAACTAGAAATGCAAGTATATACAGAGACGAGCTACCTAGGACTTTACTCTAAAGAATATAATTGTATTACAAAGAATATTTACAAAAATTAAATGTTTGTCGCATATGCATTGCAAATGTTCTGCCATTCCGAGACGAGATACCTAGGACTTCACTCTAAACATCCCATTTGGTGACAAGATATCATCTAGTATGAACTGTGCTATCTCCTCTCTAATGATTTCGAAGTTGATTTACGGAATCCTTGAAAAAAATTCCGGCATGTTCGGCGCCAAGTTAGTCTACATACTTGTAAATTTGTCGTCCTATGTGTGTATAAACAATTGAATTGCACACCTCAGGGTCGAGCAATGTCACCTTTTCTACGAAGCTCCTCATGTTATGGCAGACATGGAACCCACACTGGTCGCCAACTTGTTGACGTATTGGGAAGTCTTTCTTGTGACCGAGTTTGGGATGCCCATCCTTATGCCTCCTTCCTCTTGCCACGTATTGGTCCCATGCCTCGTTCAAGGCAGATTCGATGGCCGACCAATCGTATATTGCTGGCTTGATATTGGAGTTAAGATAGTGTACCCGACTCCACTTCGGCGTTATTACCAGAAGAATCCAATGTCGCCTGTGAAATTATTAAATTGCCAGTTACATACTACAGTTATACGCGTCGAGTATTTGAGTATAAGTACGGTACACGCATATTGTTGATTGTAGGCACACATAATGAAGTCCTTGTCTTGACAGGCAAATAAGCAATCCTTGATATAGCCCACCATGTTTGCTCGATCGTTTTTCAGCGTTGTCTCATTGACGACAGCTGGATCGAGTAAGGCACCATGGGGTGCGTTATGATGGACATG